CGACCTGTTTCTTCTATTCATAGTGTTATAAGAAATCACATACGATCCTGACAAGGCACTTCTTTCATAATTTGTGGTCCCTGGTGGTTCACTCAGGATGATCTTACCGTTTTAGCGCCACAGTGTTCATAATTGAGCTCATTAAAGATTGTATCAGAGATATCTATAGAAGTGGTTCTTTGACAGTCTATTTTTATGTGTAGATTAACCATTTAATAGTTTATCCCAAGTATCACTTGACCAGCGTGTTTATGTGCTGACTATCCTGAGTGTCACTAGGGCAAGCGTCACTTCTGCCAGTCAATTCTTGTTTTCAGTAACTTTCTTAAATTGGAATTTTTGTTCATCCTGTGTTTAAATGATTGGACTGGAAGGTGGTTAATTTGCCATTTACATCGTCATCCTTAATTAGGATGTTTTATTGTGATTTCTTTTTCTTTTTGTACCTTGCTTTTATGTAGCCTTGTTCAGGTGAGATCATTATGAGCAAATTTTCCATTCTGTTCCATCATGCTCATTAGCTTTAAAACATCAGTTCAGCAAGTTCTAGTTGCACCTTGCAAGTTTCAGGAATATGTCCATTCTTGAAATGAAAGGTAAGGGCAGAGGCTAATACATCCTTTTTCAGGTTATATAAGAGGTTTAACTTTAGTGTTCATACATTCCCTAATTATAAAATTGGATCAAGTTGAACAGTTTTTAAGTGTCACTGATTTTTTATGAGACTTATTTTGTCATTTGTCCCTTTCAGCAAGAGACCTTCTTTTCAAACACACATTTATGAGGATTTTATAATCTGAGGACAGTAGAAAAAGAAGGCCCAAATCACCTTGAAATTAATCCCAAACTGAGAATCATGATCACATTCTAAGTGCCATTTATTCCTGTGTGAACCTGGTCTTTCTCATCTCTGTCTGAAATGCCTTCGTGATGCCTGACAGACAGAAGAGGCTTAATAAATATATGGTTCCTGAGTGAGTGAGTCAGCGGCGGAAGAGGAAAGTGTTAAGAATAATCTGAAATCAGTTCTTGAGATATTATTTCTCACTCTAAAGCCATAGTTCTAATATTAAGGATCATCAATTTTAGTTTAAATATTTGCGTATTTTCATGTGATCGTGTTTAAAAAAAAAACCAAGACTGTTAAGAAGGAGAAGTGTGTTGTTTGGAGTGCACAGTGGTTTCTGATGATATTTTGACTGAGTCCTCATCAGCATTTCTCTGATTTGTTGGATGGTTGGGGCAGGAGGGTGCTAATAAGGTGTCTTTTAAAACAAGCCATCATATTGCTTTCCTACGTGGTAATGAAATTATATCTCTTTTCATTTCTAATACTGTTCTTCAGTGTCTGATTTCTCTTTTAAAGCTTTTTTTTGCTTTCATTTTTGCTAGAAATTTGCCCTGCTTAAAATTATAAGCAGTTAGTATGCAGTTGTATTTATTAAATCTCATTAGATTATTTTTGGTAGACATTTAATCCTTATTTAGAGAGTACAGAATGGATAGATCTTCCTCAAACCGGAAGGGGATCAAGCGATAGATGTAGAAGGAAGTGGGTGGAGAGGAAGGGAATGAAAAAAGAATGTGGCATGTACATGTACCACCATGACACCAGGAGTAGAAACATTATGTACTGCAAACACATACTAATAAAAATAAACAAATACAACGCTTACTAAGTGTAAAAAGCAAGATGAGGAAGAAGAAGCACAATTCAGATGTTTTCCATTAAGTGTTATATATGTAGAAGTCTGGTCCTATCCAAGGAAATGCCCTTAATTTTCTGTATTTTCAAATTTTTCGTAAGTATTCAGAATATAAGCAGATTTGACTCAATGTAAGAATTTTCTATAGGTGTCAGCTTTCTTTTATGAAAATTTTGTAATGTATTTTAGGAGGGCATGACAGAAAAAAACCTGGTTCTCGAAGAGATTTCTTCCAAAGCCACTCTTTTTTTTTGTGCGTGGCTTGAGTCAGCAGGCTAACTGGAATGTAAACAATGAGAAGCATCGTAAATAAAGTCTTACACTCCTTTCATGTTTAGGTAACTATGTTAATGATCTCAGGAACCTCTAGATATATTTCAAAATAGGCAATATGTTTTAATCTAATTGTATTATTGTACTTCTAGTTCATAGAATAGAAACATAAGACACTAGGTTGTCATCGATGAAGTAATAATGTAAATAGAACCCAGGCTCTGGCAAAGATGCTTTATACTTAACCTTTCATTTAGGCCTTGAGATTATTTCTCGCCAAAGCCACTCCATAAAAACACCCAACAGCTCTGCCTGCCTTTGACTCCACTACACAGACATAGCCCATCCTTATTGCTAAAAGTGCAGAATGTTTTCAAAGACAAAAAGCACACAGTAGAAAATAAATGCAGTTTCATGAAACTGTGGCACGTTCCTGCCCTGATACCTTTATCACATTAGTTTTTCAGGCTCTTGGGTGCCTGTAAATGCAGTCACTTGTTGATTGCAATTCAGTCAGAGTTGTCAGGACAGCGCTCCTGTGCTGATGTCCAGAAATGAAGGGAGCCTGGTTTTGCCCTTGAAGAGCCCATGTGGATAAGGGGTAATGATGCAAAACCAATGAGTGATGAAATTATACAATTTTGTGAGACATAGTAGAACACAGTGCTATAGCTCCCCTAACTTGTGGGTATTCCAAGAAGGATTGAGTCACAGTTTCACTGGATTTGAACAACAGCTTACTGTTTTCTTTATGTTGGGGATGAAGAGGGAGATAGAGGATAGAAGATACTGTTTTGAGAAGGAGTCAAAGAACAGCTGTTTTGTAAGACAAAGAGTGGGATTTCCATTGGCCTAAAGTTTTAAATAATAATTAAGCGTAAATTGTAAAGGCTCTTCCTTCCCAGCCAGTATGCTATATAGTAGTTTAGAACTTGCCTCTGTGCTTGGATTGCTTAGGTTAGAATCTCATTTCCATTACTGTTTCTTTGCTCTTGGACAAACTTCTTGTCTTGCCAGGGATACAGCTCAGTGCCTGTCTGGCAACACAAGTTCTTGAGTTCAATTTCTGGTATCAAAAAAAAAAAAAAAAAAAAAAAAATCATATCTCTGAGATGCAGTTTCTTCTCTTTAAACTCAGCACCATGCAAGAACTTTGTTACAGGATTTTTTTTTTTTTAAAGGTAGTAAAATACAACAAATAAAGCCAACTGAGACAGTGTAGTGAAATTGGTACAGAACTTCACAGCAGGTTACCGGGCTAACAGTAATGGGTATCACAGTGTATCTCATTATTTTCATAATAGTTGTACTTTCAATCATGTATATCAAAATAAAATGAGATACAGAACATTATAGAACTTACCAAAACAGAATACTGAATAGAGAAGTACCATTAATCAGAATAAAGCAAAAGAGTAAGAAAAATATTTGCCTTCAAAGAGGTGGTAGAAGGAAGTCCCCCTTATTTGCTATGGTCAGCCTTCCCAAGAGATGCTCAGATCTCTGGTTCCCTTTTGCTAACGGGGGGCGTGAGAAGGGGGGTAGGGGATGATTGACTCTCAGCCCGTGCACCAGTAGGCTCACTATTGCTTAGCAGGGAGGCAGGCTAGTTCCTTGGTTTTCCAGCATCCTAACTTCCAACATAGCGCAGATCTCAGGAACCACTGGTGGTTCTACCCCTGGAGGGGCCACAGCCTGCTACACCACAGCCGCTTACCAGGAAGGGGAGCTGCTTGCTTGGTTTCCCAGGGTCCTAAGTTCCAATATGGTGTAGAGCTGCTGGTGGTTCTCCCCCTGCAGGGGCCATAGCCTGCCACTTACAGGATTTTTGTGATGATTAGAGAGTGTCTATTTTAAAGCACCTAGCCTGACTTATATGGAGTATGCAGTGTTATCAGCTCCATGTTATGTTTATAAATCAAGGTAGAGTTTAATTTTTGAAAATAAGTTAAAGGATTTAATAATATAAAACTATAGGAGTAAAAGGCAGGATAACCAAGGAAAAGGAATGACATAGTAATGTACAATACGTGAAATACTTGAGTTAAAATGGTCTTATGAAATACCTTGTGTCATTTGGCCTCGTGACTGTTTCACACCAGCAGAGTAGTTCTTCGTGGAGCAGATGTTCATCCAGGCATTGTTGATTCAGAGATTTTACCTAACAGACAGATGACCATGGTAAACTAACCAGTCTGGGTTACAAAATGAAGAATGCTCTTACATCAGCTATTACAAAATTTTTAATGTTTATAGCAGTTCAGTATACTTTGAAAATTCTGTTCCAAACCATAGACCCCAGAATAATGATCCATTTGTGTATATTCACTGAGCTAACAAAGAGTACTTTTTTACTTTTCTTTTTATTCTTAGGGTATCTCCACTGTGATGAATAGATAATACCAATTAAAATGTCTCAGTTTAGTTTGGGGCTGAGCAGAAAATCAAAAAGATTCATAAATTTGAAATTGCTTTGACCTTATAATTATGTTGAAGTTTTGTTTATTAAATAGAATTAGCATTAACTGTGAGAGAGAAAAACTGTTTTTAGAAGTGAAACACTGTAGCCCTTACAGTGAGCTGTTATTCAGGTAAACATTTGACTTTACAGAATCATTCACTGTATTAGTGAAATTGATCTGGACAGATGACATTTTAAACAGTTGCAGTGTTAGGACTGACCAGTTCCCTTTACCTAATATAAGATGATGTTGACTCCTTCATGACAGAAAACAATAAAGTGGAAGAGGCTGTCCTAACAAATAACAAATAACAATAAGAAATTGAACCAATCTGATTATTCAGGATTAATTATGTAGTTTCTATGTGAAATTAAGTAAACATGCCTTCATCAGTTTTTTAGTGGATGTTTGTCCCTTTTTAATTAATTGTGATTCTGTTGGATATTACTAACTGAATTGAAATTTTTAACATTTCCTTGGGCTAGGGATATAGTTCAGCTGCTCCACATCTGCCTGGTACCCCCTCCCCAAATAAAAAATAAATAAAATTTCTCTTTAGTGCCCCAGGTTCTTCAGAGCTGCACAGCATTCATTGAGAGGTATGGCATTGTGGATGGAATATATCGCCTCTCTGGAGTTGCCTCCAATATCCAGAGATTACGGTAATATCTTCTGTGGTATTTTCTATTTTATTCCTATTTAGCTCATTAAAACAAAATTAAAACAGAACTGAGTAGCTTACTTTGCTGTCCATAATTTTCAGTAAGATAGGATAAAATAGAAAACAGTATCCATGTTGTTCTTTCTGCATATTTTCTAAATGACATGTTTACCTATGCAGTGGAAACCACACACCTTAACTTCTTCAATACTTCTGTGTTTGTTATCTCTTTAAAAAGTTTGAAGATTATAGCAAAGTGAGTCTGAATTTTTGACAGGCATGAGAGATGAAATATACATTATAATAGATCTACTGTTTGGCTATTTTTTTTTCCTCTTTGGTTCTTAAAATCTATAGGAGTGAAACCTTTTCAAAAACCTCCTTTGACCCTAGTTCTGTATTGTATGCCTAAGTATACATATGTTACCTGTTACTCCACATACTTCCTTTGAGACAAAAAATGTAGATTGTATGCTATTATCATTTCGTTTTTCACTGTAATGCACGGTAACTACCCTTATTGTACAAGAACTTTAATATTTTAATTGATCACGCAGCTTACCCTTGCTTTTCAGAAATTCATGTTTAGAAAATACTCATTTTCTCTCTTTTTTTGAGCCAGGATCTGTGTATAATAGGCAAATACTCTACCACTGAGGCTCTTGTACTAAAGACAGTTTCATTTGGTTCTTACAGTACAGACAGTTTCAAACTCTGTAAAGCAAATGTTCAGATTATCCACACGTTAATGCTTTGGAGAGATGATAAGTGATCTCGGGACTGTGGATTGATATTAAATCTATCTCCTGGAGAACAGGCCTAATCTGCATTAGTATTCTGGGTCCTTGTATTTCATATATTCTAATGATACAGATGTTACTGTATATTAAAACTTAGCACTAATTAGAGATTGCTTTATATTGTTTCTATCTTTCTTGTTCTGCTTCAGTGTAACATTCTGCTACAAGTCATATCTGAGGAATTTTTGTATGTAGTTATTCATGGACTAGTTTTTCAACCCAGGTTCTCACAGTTCCAAAATACTAGATATTCAGAACATTGGAAATTAGTTGCATTATTTTCAGGCTGATGTGCTGTAAGAGCTTCTCATTCATACACATTTTGGGGTTTATTGTCCTTTTAAAGCTGTGCCCATAATTTTCATGTGATAGATTACTTGCCTTATGATAAGACATCCAATTACTGCTGAAGTCCAAATGTGATTTATATGAAATATAATTTGAAGATAATCACAGCTAACTGTGATAAAGATAAGTCCTTTGGGCTAGAGGTTATTTACATTTTAATATTAAATCTGTGTCCTTAATTTCCATATAAGATAGCTAGCTAGTGATAATGTATCAATTATTGGTGAAGTCCAGATAAAATTTACATGGACTATGAATTGAAGTAAACAGTAACTCACTGAGGTAGAGATGAACACTTGGGGATGTTGCTCTCGGGTCATATGTTTGCTTTCCTTCAATGAAATAATTTTATTTCATCCTCTTTTGTCTGGAGTAGCCATGAATTTGACTCTGAGCATGTCCCCGACTTGACAAAAGAACCGTATGTGCAAGACATCCATTCCGTGGGCTCCCTCTGTAAGCTGTACTTCCGAGAGCTCCCCAACCCTCTGCTCACCTACCAGCTGTATGAGAAGTTTTCTGTGAGTACCAGTTACTTTTGACTCGAGGTCTCCTGTGGAGCTTTGCTATGTTAGTGGTTACTGTCGTACTTTTTTAAAATCAGAATTGAGATTCAGTGTTCACATCTTATGAGAACAAAGTGCTTGCCTAGATGTTGTGTTTGTGTTTCCTCTTCCTTTAGCATCAGAGATAAAAGTGGGTTAATCTCAGAGTGAAAACTGAGTTTTAAGTGAGAAACTCAGTTTTACCAAAAGCCTACTGGTCTCTTTTATGCTGTGACTGTTACAGGAGGCCGTTTCAGCAGCAACAGATGAAGAGCGGCTAATAAAAATTCACGATGTCATCCAGCAACTACCCCCGCCGCACTACAGGTAAATCACATTGGTGAACGCCAGCCGGCAGCAGCAGTCATCCCTGTGTAAACGTGTTTTCTCTGAGTTTTTAGCTTTTTACACTTCTATGATGTTCTACCTAATTAAGTCCCATGTTTTCCAGAATGAATTTTATTCGTACACGAATTCGTATTTGTTTGTCTTTATATGTCAGGTCCTGCACAGGGCTTAGTGTCCAGGAGGTAAATGTTGAGTGAATGTATGAATGAATGAACAAATGAACTTGGGGTTTTGTTTGTGTCATTTTAGGGTTTGCTGTTCATAGATGTTTGTCAGTGCTGCTTTTGTTTTGTGTTTCGGTGGTACAGGGGATTGGGTGCAGGCCTCGTGCATGCTAAGGAAACACACTCTCCCCCGACCTTCATTCACTTGGTGCTACATTTTAAAATACATGTTGATTTGTATGCGACTTCTAACTCTCAGAAATATTTTTGTTTATATCTGAAAAGACCAGAATTAAAGAGGATGACTTTGCCATTTAGTGAGGCAAAGAAAACAGTAGAAACCATGGATTATAATATTCAAAGAAAGCAACAGACATTTTAAAAATTAAGAAGAAATCAAATTCAACAATAATTTAATGCTCGTTTTCCAAAATGACATTGCTTATATATATTTAAATCAACACTATATTCAGCACTAAAAAAGCCTAATACTTTTAATCAGTGTTAACATTACATTTTTAATCAGCACTCCAGATACAAATGCATGACCGCCTAAAACTGAAGGACAGTATCGACTCACTGTCCCATTCATGTTGCCTCTCCTAGGAGGAATGTGGTGAATTCAAAGGTGTAAGGATCCAGCACAGAGTGAAAAAGAAAACTCAAAGATAAATTGGAAAGGTTTTATGACAGAAACTCAAAGAAATTAAGGATGATAGCCCTGAAAAGGAAGGCTGTTGAGACAAATGTGATCAGTAACAATTATTCAGGGAAGAAGAGGATGTTACCAACTCACCAGTGAAAGAAACACAGTACAATCTGAGAGGAATATTTGCTTTGACAGAACTGGCTGTGTGTGTCCAAGTCTATCTCATACTTCTCAGGTCTCTCAGAATACTAACAGTACTTTCTGAAGAGAATTTTTTAAAATTATAAAATAAGGGATGAACCTGGTCCATACTTTTTAAAAATAAAGCATAGCAAGATAGAAGAATACATTTAACAATGACCTGGATAATTTCTTTCATTTATTCATTCATTTTGTGTGGTAGACATCAAACCAGGGCCTTGGGCATGCTAGGTAAACTCTACCACTGAGCTATACCTTGGTGGTTTTACATGAAGTATGTTTAAATATGTCCTTCTTCCTGCATTAAAAAATGATCTGTATAACATATATACACAGTGTGAAAAGCCAGTGGTAAACAGAGTTGATACACACTGCAGCCACTCTCCATGTCCCATTTCTCTCCTGCAGAAGTCAGTACACTCAACTCCTTCTTTTGGGATCGACTTCCCACCCATTTCTCATAGCTCATTTGCATTGCTGCATCCATTTTTCATTTTTTGGTGGTGTTACCTTCTCATGATAAATGAGGATCTCATACTCTTTTCTAGAACCCACCAACACACACTTTCTCTTGTCTCTTCTTCATAGCCCAGCTATATGAGCATTGAGAATTAAGTAAGTATTTAGAGTGTGCATTTAAATAACTGCATAGTTATATTTACAGCTCTGCCTAAGGGTAGATATTCTTTTCAGTGACAACTTTTTGTGTTTTCTGTGGAGCTCTTGGCTTTTTCTATCACTGAATTTCTGTTTCTAGTTTATCCCTAGGTTCTTTAACAAGCCTTGTCACTGTTCTTGTACTGTATTCTTACATACCAAGCAGTATTTTCATTTTTCCTTCCTGAAAAGCACCTTTTATGGTCTTTTGTCCCCTTTCTTTAGTTCAGTGAAGCAGACAGTGCCGCCCAGTACCTGGTTCTGGTAGTTTCTGTTACCTCCTCTCTGAGTTAGACTCTGTTTTCTGGATCTCTGTCACCATCCTTGATTTTATTCTCTGCTTTCATAGCACACATTTTTAATATTTTTCTGAGAAAGATAGAGGAGCTAAATTTTTTGAGACTTCCATATTTGAAAATATTCCTATTCTACTCGTGCATTTGATTGGTAATTGTATAACTTTAGAATGTAAATAATTTCCCCCATAATTGTGATGGTATTACACCATTGTTGTCTACCAACAAATTGTGCGCTTCAATCTGATACTGCTTTTCTATGACATCTTGGTTATGTTATGTTTTGTTATTTAAAACAAAGTGGTCAGTTTTCATAGTCACATACCTTGGTGTGGGTTCTTTTTATTCCTCACTTTGGAGACTTGGTGGACTTTTCCTTCTGGAAACACATGTTTCTGAAAATTTGTCTTCTGCCATCTCTTTGATAGGTCTCTTTGCAGTTTAAACCCCACTCTTTGTTCTCTGTAATTATTTTATTGAACTCTTACTTTCTCTTATCTTCTCTCGTGTTCCCTTTATCAGTTTCTACCCCCATGGATTTTTTCAAGATGCTCTGGTTTTTGGTTTTGTTTTTTTATGATTTCCAAGAGCAGACTTCTTCCCTTCCTTCCTTGCATTTCTGACTATTCTACTTTATAACATGCAATTCTTATTCCACAGATACAGTCTCTCTTCACTAGGAGAGCTTCATTAGTATTTATATGTTTTGTTCTGCTTCAGAATGTTGTTTTTGTTAGTGTTTATTTCTTTTTCATTTATTTGCAATTTGCTTGCTTGCTTAATTTGTTTCCATAGTGCTGGGCATTGAACCCATACCCTTTGCACTGAGCTGCATCTCCAGACTTTTTAAAAAGGCAGGATCCACCTGAATTATCCAGGCCAGGCTTGAATTTAGGATATTCCTGCCTCAGCCCCCCGTAATGCTGGGATTATAGGCACATACCACTAGGAGCATCTACTTTTTTTTTTGTGCCAGTTCACTCTTAACTTAGCAAAATATTCAGCTGAGGATTCATGGAAACTAAAAAGTAATAATAAACATACATATATATATATGTCACATAATTATTTCCTTTATTAATTTTGTGCAGACAGAGCTCCCTTGCTGTGTAGTCTTTTGTATTGAACATTATATATCTTTCCTGCTACATATTATATATTGGACTTACATATGACTGCATTTTTATGTATACTGTACTACCTGTTTAGTGTGTAACCTCTTTAAAATGTAAACTCTGATACTGTTCTTACTTATCTCTATATTTTCAGAATACAACCTTGAAAATAGTAGATGTTCAATAATATATGGCATGTTTATGTATTTTATACACTGTTTACCTAAGATTTTAAACATTTACATTTCCTAATTCATTAAATCTTCTTGAAAATGTGATTTTTAATGATGTTTTCACATATTTTCCTAATTTGCATTTTCACCTATGCATGTGCTATAGGTTTTTTATCCCTGATTTTGAACATGACTGTGAGGATCATTCTTCTTTATAGACTCTAGAATTTTTTTAGGGTAGAGATCTGGTAGTTGAATTCTAGAAACCAAAAGATATTGTTATTTTTATTTTTGATGTGGGAGATTACTCAGAGTGTGGCTTCCAAACGATTTGTGCAGTTCCTTGCTCACCTGCTGAATGTGCAGTGCTTACTTCATGGAGCCCTGACTGAATTCTCCCCTGACTTTCAAGAAATTTCTATAATTAGACAAACAGAAAAGGTACCTTTGGTCATTTTAGTTTGCATTTCTTGTAAAGTGCATTTCTGAAGTTCTTTAATATCCCCCCTCCTAATAATTACATTTCACTGTCTTCTGAATGTTTCTCAGGCTCCCCACCTCCCACATAGCACCAGGCCAGCCCCCTCTTGTGCCTGCATGTCTGTCTTTTCTCTGTGTGAGGAGGATGGACACCACCATTTCCCCATAGAGCCACCACGGTAGATGCCTCGCACGAGCAGGCAGCTTCGGAGACAGGCCAGCCTTGATTTAGGTCCCAGCCAGTCTGCCACTGCTCATCTGTAACCACTGGTGGTCTTGCCTGCCCATGCTGTCAGGGATGGTGATGCTGTGTGTGGCTCACCTGCTGTGGACAGTCAGTGCGGCTCCCCTTGGAAGCACAGTGCTTAGGCCAGCTGCTGTCTTCCTCTTCTCTCAAGCTTCCGTTAGGCTCATGAAACTGCTGTGGCTCACACACCGACCACAGCGTAATACTGACTGCTGTTCTCTTTGTGTCTCTTATTTGTGGCCCTTGGCGGTTGTAGTCCCTGTACAGTTAGGTAGGGACACTGAGGCATGCAGCTGACGTGCTTCATGTGTGATGTGTTGTGCTTGCCACTGGTTTAACTTACAAGATGATGATGTTTTATTTTCAAAAGCGCCACTCAGTTGTTTCACCTCAGTATATGTGGAATTGTTTAAAGAAACCTATTTTGAATGGATAAAATAAAGTTACTGCAATTTCAAATAGGCTCTTTATTCCACAAATACATTGGTGGCTCAACTCCTGTTGAAATTTTCCTTTTCACCTTTGCATAGGTTTGTGAAACACTGGTGTTTCTTTCACAGGAAATGTGTTTAAATCCTTTCTTTTCAGTTGTCTGCTGCAAGCAGAATAGCATAAATTCCAAGTATTTGGTCCACAAACAGGCTTTTGTGAAGGATTCACTTCTTGATATTTAAACTGAGGCATCAGAAGTATGTATGAGTTTGTATGATCTCTTTGCTGTTAGCAACTTGTAAGTCCGTGAGTGGCCTTTGTCATCTACATTGCTAGAGAATGTATTTTTCTGCTGATATATTCTGTTTCATTTCCAGAACACTGGAGTTCCTGATGAGACATTTGTCTCTTCTAGCGGACTATTGCTCCATCACAAATATGCATGCAAAAAACTTAGCAATCGTCTGGGCTCCAAATCTGCTCAGGTAGTTTGCATTTGACTTATGACCTTCGCTAAAACTAAGTATTTTAGTTCTACTGTTAGATCTAGAAGTATTTAATTAGTGTTCCTTAGTCCTCCCCTAACTCTCATCTCCCTAAAACAGGCAAATGGGGTTAAGGAAGTATAAAAGTACGATTTCTCCCTAATTTGCTTGTGATCTATGCTTTTAAAAAAAAATGCCCTTTAAAACTGCTCAGGTAGTGACTAGGAATGTTGTTTACCCCACAGATCGAAACAGATAGAGTCTGCCTGCTTCAGTGGAACGGCAGCCTTCATGGAAGTGAGAATCCAGTCTGTGGTTGTGGAGTTCATCCTCAATCATGTAGATGTGCTCTTCAGTGGCAAAATCAGCGCCGTCATGCAGGAAGGGGCAGGTGCGACTCCGGCAGATTTTTTTGTTGCTAACAATGTGTTTCTGTACTTGTGAAAGAACGGAGGACAACTTTGCATTTCTCATCTCAATTTAATAAAAATATGTTATTGGTAAAAGATAAGCAATTTATATCTTTCAGAACACAGTTTTACAGTTTATTTTGTGTGTACATAGTAGATGCTACATATCAGATTTATTGTGATCTAAGTTCATGACAGATTGAAAAAAAATTTTAAAACATCTTGATATATATGTTAAAGTATATGTGTAAGAGAAGAAGACTTCCCTTGAGAACTAAAAATACCTGAATCATCAGCTTTCCTGGTATGCTTTAGGAAAGGAAAATAGTTATATTATGAATGAATTATACATACTCATATTTAATTGTGTAGGGAATTCCATAGGGGAAAATGATAGGCTTTCACCTTATGGGGTTGAGTTTCTCTCTAAGACATGTTATTTAGAAATTTGTTTAGAAGTAATCTGGTTGAAACAGCTTATTCAGAAAGTAATTACTTTAAGTTATGATGTTGTGTAACTATTTACTACACAGTGTACATACTGTAATTTGTGCCACTTAAAAACCTGAAGAAATTTGAAACACCCACCAGTAGGTGGACAAACAGGTTGATGCACACCTGTATATAGTTGATTATGTTCATTTCCGTCTGTTTCTTTTTGAAGCATCTTTATCTAGGCCCAAGTCTCTGCTGGTAGCCTCTCCATCCACCAAGCTTCTGACTTTGGAGGAAGCCCAGGCAAGAACACAAGCTCAGGTCAATTCTCCAATAGTGACTGAAAATAAATACATTGAAGTAGGAGAAGGACCTGCTGCGCTTCAAGGAAAATTTCATACCATAATTGAGTTCCCACTTGAAAGGTAAAATTCATGAAATTCAGCAAAAAAATAGGATCTTAATAACCTTGTGTTACTAATTGGTTTTAGTTTTCTTTCTCCCCCCATGGCTGAGAGTTGCCCCACCCCCATCCCCAGTCCTCACATGTGCTGGGCAAATACTCTGCATCTGAGCTCTTGCCATCCCTATCTTGGTTTTAAATTTGTGTTTTAATATTTATAGATTAAATTTCTGGGCCAGTACAAGAAGAATTTGTCTTATTTGAATAAGGTTTAAAAAAATAATTTTTGCAAAGCATTATAGTATCACCTAATTTTATAATAGAAACCTATTGTACAGGAAAAAGTGAAACACTTTCACTATGTGAGACTGATTTTCTCTGAAATAGGTTATTTAAAACTTTCTTAGAAGTAACCATTGTTGAAACAACATATTCAGAAAGTAATGCATGGCCAATGACTTACATGGCATTAGTTCTGTCCTTTCTTTCCTGACCTGCAGCCTCATATTACCTGGTAGTTGTTAGTAGGCAGATCCTCCAGCCTGCCCCACACCTACTAAGTCAGAATCTCTGTAATAGGCCCAGCAGCCAGTCTTCCATCAAGCTTTCCGGGGGTGCAGAAACTATAGTGTGACCTTTTAAGGTCCACTCTGACATCTCTGTTTCCCTAAACAAATGACAAGAACATCATTTCTATGTCTTTTTTACTAGTTTATAGTTAGAAGACTAATGTATGTAAAAGTTATTTTTTTATGTCTGTGCTGCTTTTTTGGGTATTCACATGAATGTAAGAATCTTCTCTGAATTGGATTTTACTAATAAACCTTAAAATGTCTGTTTCCCTTGGGGCTGGGTATTTAGCTCAGCGGCATAAGTGCCTGCCTTGCAAGCAGGCAGTTGTGAGTTCGATCCCTAGTACTGATAAAGACCAAAAAAAAAAAATGTCTTTCCCGTATTTGAGTACAATCCTCTAACTTCCTTTCACCTCCCATAGTGAAGACAAGCAAATAGTTAGAACATATTCTGAGCATCCTGGGTTTATATTGTATCCATAATTTATTCACAGTCTTTTTCATGGAATAGTGATTTTTAAAAGTAGATATAAGGATGTATTTAGACTTGCATTTCAAACCTGATTCCATCACTTACTAGTTTTATAACTTCAAGGAAATCTTTTGAACTTCTTATTCCTTCAGCCATAAAATGAGAATAATAGTACCTGCCACATGTGGTTATTTCTGATTTAAAAGAGGCACTACATATAAGGTAAGGTACTTAGCACAGGCTTGACACTTAATATATGTTAGTTATTATTAATCCTTCTTTTTTTGTCCTTATTCTCTTTACTCACACCTAAAATCAGTTTAACTCTGTTTTATTTTTGGAGGCTTGATTAATAATAAGTTCCTATTCCCAGTTATGTCTTACTCCCAACTTATTTTACAGATTATGAGATGGGATCTAAATACAGTGCATAAAATGATGGTGGTGAAACTAGTTATCAGTGTTAAAACCTGCACGTGCATTTCCATTTCATGCTCTAGCCATACTGTGTATAGTGTGCTGTATGGAAGGTGGTGGAGGTTTGTTCACTGTTTCACCTGGGCCTCACCGGCTGTTTGGTTCTACTATTAATTCTTTTTTTTTTTTTTTTCTACAAGAAAAGACTCGTGGCTGTCTTAATGCTGTCTGTTTTTTCTCTCATAGAAAGAGACCTCAAAATAAGATGAAAAAGTCCCCCGTGGGCAGCTGGCGTTCCTTTTTCAACTTGGGGAAGTCGTCATCTGTCTCTAAGCGGAAGTTGCAGCGCAACGAGAGTGAGCCTTCTGAGATGAAGGCCATGGCTCTGAAAGGTGAGTGCTGTGTAGCCCTGTCTTGCTATCACAGAGCAGTCTGAGTGACAGGTCCCCATGCATGACACTGTCACTGCTGTGGTGGCCTCCTGTCGCCCTGGGCATGGACCCTATATATTGTCATCATAGACCTCTCTGCAATATGTGCACAGCTACACGGTGCAGGTGAATTGTCTTCATGACTAATTCCATATTCCCACTTGAAAAATATATAAATTTTTCATAAATACGTCAAAAAACTCAATTTCTTAAGGAAACTGTAAAGATTACAGCTAGAAATCTAAAACACAATTGTAACATACCTGTACATGGTTTATAGTCAGTATTAAGCTTCTCTTTTGCTGGACACAGGACCCAACACCCACAATTTAAAATAAAAGAGCTTTCATTTGGCTCATGGTTTGGTGGGATTTAATCCATTGTCTACTGGCTCTACGTAAAATGGTGTAGCCCAAGAGCATGGTGGAACAAAGCTGCTTAGTTCACTGGAGCAAAGAATAGGAACAGTGCCAGAAAGGAAGGGACAGAGGATTCGAGGCAGACCTCAAGCCACATTTCTACAGCCATCCTTTGCCCCACCAATCCCTGAGGCAATCTCAAAGCTAATTCAAGTTCACACACACTCTAAACAATGCATCCCACCCCTTGTCAATTTGTAACTCAAATGTCTCTTTAAACCATAGTCTCCAAATAAAGACAGTAGCTATAATTCCATAATTTTACCTTACATAGTACATCTGGAAATGATATAGTTCTTCTCCAAAATCTCAGTGGTTCCAGCATTTTTCAGAAGCCCAAGTCCAAAGCTGCTTTGAGTTCCAAGTCTTATCTATGTACCTTTGTAAAAATCAGAAACAACTTACATAATCCTAAGGTATGGGGGTAATCATACCCATTCTGAAAAGGAGGAACATGAGTTTAGAAAAGAATCAACAAAACAAAACCGAATCCAGCAGGGCGAACATGAAGTGTTACAGCTCCACACATAGCATCCAGGCCCTGTGATGGTAAAGTGAGAGACTGGAGGGCTGGAGTGGGACCGATACTTGGAGTCCTGTCCTCTCTTGCTATCTGTACTCATGGCCTGCAGCTTTCCTCAGCAGATTTTCCTGGTGTCTCCCACTTTCTGGACTCTACTACACTTTTGGCTTCATTTCCACAGCTTCAAGTACTACACATTCAGGGGCTTCCTTTTTCTTGTTTTTGGGGTTTTTGGTACCCGGAATCTTTCAGGAATTTACCAGGGTGCCCTTCTGACCCCACAGCTCTTGCATTGTGTGACAGCAGCAGGGGTTGCTGTGAGCTATTGCCTGACGCCTATGGACTGTGCCTGCTGTAGTTCTGAGTGCTTTGGTGGCTGAGCACAGGGAAATGAATTCTGGGGAACCGGTACCAACACCAGTGCCCTAGCAGGGCTGTCTCAAGTAGAGGTGCCCGCACTGTCCTCTCCAGGTTAATACTTGGTACCCTGGAGTCTTGAGTGGCTGTAGTCTTGCAGATTCATCACATGCCCTCAATTATATTTGTTCTTATACCACAGCAGCAGTATATTGATTTTAAGACTTAATTGGTTTTATAATTTTGGGATGATGATTGTGTTTATATTTTTGTGGGGAAGATCATTGTGATCATGTTTGTCACCTGATGTGGAGATGCAGCATTTATGAGTGGAAGCAATATTTTTCCAAATGTTTGTTAGTAAACCGAATAATTTGCAAACAGAGGCGTTTATAAATGGAACTGTTGCTGTATTTGGTTTCTTGTTAAAGACACTAATGTCTTTAGCAGCCACACCCCATTTGACCCTGGTTTTTCAAGGGAGTCCTAGGCCAATATTTTAAGTTTTTCAAATTTTTCTGCTCTGCTTTTGGCTTCCACATTTCACTATAAGTCTGGCTAAAAGCAGCCATTAGTACATATGTGACAACCTGAATTTCAGGCTATGTTGTAATTTTCCCCACCAGATTAGTCTACCACTCTTAATCCTAGTCTTCTGCAAAGTGTCAGGTTATGAGCAAAATGTACATACAAAAATTGTTGGCCAGAGTGTTACACACAGTGCCTGTAGTCCAGATGCCAGTGGAGTCCTGGTTCCTGTCTGAAATCTACTTTTACTGTCTACATTTCTATCAGCATTCTGTTCTTCAGGGGTCCAAGTAGAATCGTGCATCAAGCCCTGCTTACTACAGTCTAAGGTTTCTGTAACACTTGTCTCCAAATCTGCACGTGATCCCGCCCCCTCAGCTTGAACAATCAGTGGTGTATGCTTGACTTGTACCACAAGATAGCATTGTCCCGGGTAGCCCCAATGGGACAGTTACGCATATACTGCTGGTATTGCAGAAATGCCTGGAAGTGAGCCATAAATTATGGACACATTATTGTAAACCTGTTAGGTACAATGAGGTCAGATATAGTCATAATGGCCTCCTCACTCTAGGCACCAAGTTTCCGTGTTTGTTTTCCTGTTGCTGAACACAGTACCCAACACCCACAGTTTAAGGGTGGAAAGCTTTAATTCAGCTCATGGTTTGGGGGGAATTTAGTCCATGGTTGCCTGACTCTATGGCAGAAATGGTATTGTAGAAGAGTTGCAGCACAGAGCAGTTAGTTTCTGACAGATGAGAAACAGAACAGGAGAATGGTGCCAAAGAGAAAGGAGCAAAGGAACAGACACAGACTTCTAAGGCCTCTACGAGTTTCTCCAGCAAATTCAGAATTGCACTCTACCAATTCCTAGGACAAATCTAAGGCCAGCCCAAGAGGACTCTTTGATAAGAATATCTGATGTCACCACGTAGATCTATCACTACTGAAAAAACTTACAAAAACAGTGTAAACCTATGTTTTGATAGTAACGACTTCTGACTCTAGAATGGAAAGTAGTACTTCTTATGTAATATTAGTGTGATGTTTCATTCATTTATTTATTCAGTAATCATAAGTTAGATATTTTGACAGCAGACCCTGCAGAGAAAAAAAGGTAGTGCATATGTTTGCAGAATCTGAATGGGAAGTCTTATCTATAACAAAACAAATTTCAGTGCAGAATGATAGTTCTGTATAAAGTCAGCTCTCATGTGGAAGAGGCTAGTAGGAGAGAGAACCTTTGACTTAGGTGTGGAAGAATGAGCAGTGATTGACCTAATCACCATGAGACTAAGAATGGTATTTCAGGAGGTGAGGACAGGATAAGAAGAGAAGCAAGTTGGGGGCGGAGTCCTGTAGAAAAGCAATATTTAAATGAAGAGTCATCAGAGAGGACAGTGACAAGAGATAGCTAGAATGCTCGGCAAAGAAGGGGAGAGATGGGCACTGTCCCCAGCAGGGGAGGCCTGCGGTGGAAATGTGACCACTGTATGGTGCTGTCAGCTAGCGACAGAGAAAGACGTTGAGTGGGAGATGCCACAGGTCTGATGACCGCGCGGGTGTACAAAGGCTGAGTAATGGATGACAGCAAGTCAAGTGGCTTAAAACAACAAGAGCGAATTCTCTCCCAACTCTGGAGGCTCACATTAATTCTGGCAGCTGTGAGCAGGCCATGCCCTGGGGAATGAGCCTTCCATGCCTCTTCTGGCAACCGGCAACTTCTCTTGAGGCAGCATCACCCAGCCTCTGCTTGCATGTCATGGGTCCTTCTCCTCTGTGTCTGTCTTTTCTTCATCTTTCATGGACACCAATCATTGATGATGGACCCACTGTAAGTGCATTGTGGTATTATCTCAGGGTACACGTCGGGGGCCAGGGACCGTGGCACACATTGTAAGCACAACACTTAGGAGGCTAAGGCAGGAGGCTTATTATGAGTTCAAAGCAAGCCTGTGCTACATAGTGAATCCCAAGGCCAGCCTGAACCACATAGACTGTGTCAAACACCAAAAAGGATATATATTGGAGTTTAGAAAATAAACGAGAGAAGATTTAGTTCATCTCTCTGTTCAAGTTCATGATCCTTTAGAAAAGAGATTTTTCAAATGGTTTCCCATTTGAGAACAGTACAACACTTTATATAATAGGAACGTGGATTGAAAATGTCCAAACATGCAGCCAGTCACTCCTAGGAGTTTAAGCATGTGTAAGGAAAAACACTGATCCCTTTAGCTCCATAGTGTATAACAGTAACCAACTTTACTCTGTTTGTTTTCCGTCCTGCAGGTGGCAGGGCAGAAGGAACCCTCCGCTCAGCTAAAAGTGAGGAGTCTCTTACTTCTCTCCATGCAGTTGATGGTAAGACTAAAAGCATAAATTGCTTCATTCCATGATACCTGGCAGAAGGACTATGAACACAGTAATTAAGTACTTTATGTATGATATGCTTGATAGACTAATCACTGTCATTTCTAAGAATACTATTATGTATTTAATATTGTTCAGATTAAAATTCAGTGATGTTTTAATGTGGTATTTTGGCTATTTGTTTACATAAAAATGACTATAAACTTTAAAATCAGTCACTTATATTTTATTTGTACTGAGTAAAAACTGATACTACTACTACCAACTTCATTAGCTATCACAATGAGAAGATGTTTGTTACAGAGTGTAAAAGTAAAAGTAAGCAGTTTTCATGACTGTCTTTTGTCTTGCAAAATGGTTTAACCCAACCATTTCATAGATCAGGCAGATTACAAGTGGTCTTCATTATCCAAAGATAATTAGCACCTGGAATAGGCACCTTAAAGTGAATCTGCTTGAAATGGGGGCCTGTGTTTCATGGTAGATAGTGAAAAAGGTTTGGTTGCAACATGGAAAACAAAACAAAAATGTGAAGATTGTTATTTGTTCTGGTTAGTACTAGTTGAGTTGCAGTTGAAGCTTCAGTAGTTTTTAGAATAAAGAATTGCTTCAGTGTTGATTTGGAAGAAAGTTCAGATTTTTTGGACAAAACCCTGTAAGAACAACCATCATTTGGTGTTCAGTTCGGGCAGCAAATTATAAAGAAGGCTTTTTTTTGCATAAGTGATGAAGAACTACACTGATTGTTTTTCCCCAGAGGCTGTGTAAAATCAATCAGTGGTCAGATAATGCTCTGCTGAAGTGTCTTGGGGCCATCATTGTGGTCAGTTTTCTTATCTCCATTTATTATTCATTCTTCTGACTACAGATTTTCTGTGACCAGGGGCTTTGCTTGTGATTCAGAGCAATTTTCTCTGAATTGCTGACATCTTAGTAGTTTTCCAAGATTTTCAGTTAAACTGCAGTTAAGATGATCTAACAAAGCAGGGTAGTGGGCAAGGACATTTTCACTATGGCAGTTACATAAATATTAATACATATTACTTCTTATAAAGTAGAGCATTTCTTTTCCTAATTTATTTCACTATTTGGGCATAAAATTATGTAATAATATCTGCCACTCCAAAGGATTGTGTTTAGGAGACTGAAAATCTATGCTTATTAAAGAAATAAGTGATCAAGAATGATCTAAAGAGATAACAAAGATCAGTACATACTTGTTAGGGGAAAACTTCAAGAGGAAGAGATAACAATCATAAATATGTATGCGCCAAATATGGGAACACACAACTACGTAAGATAAATACTAATAGATACGAAAAATTGAACGAGCAATAACACAGTTGTAACAGGGGTCCTTAATACCCCATTGTTACAAAAAGAGCAGCTAGTCAAAAAAATCAGCAAAGAAGTAACAGAACTGAATGAAACCTATGAACAAATGAACTTCGTAGATGTTTACAGAGTGTTGCACCCAGCACATCAGAATACACATTCTTCTCAGCTGCGCATGAGACAGTCTCTTAAATAGACCACATACTAGCCCACAGAACATGCTTAAGTAAATGCAAAGGAATTAAAATTATCCCATACATATTATCTGACCATTGTGCAATGACATTGGAAATTAATAACAAAAGAAACTGCAAAAGCTCCTTAAACCAATGGAAATTAAATAACATTCTCCTGAACAACCAGTGGGTCACAGATTAAATTAAAGAAGAAATTAAAACAATGTCTACAAGTAAATGAAAATCAATGAAAACCAATGAAAGCAGTCCTAAGAGGGAAATGTACAGTGGTGAATTTATAGTGGTGAATTCTCACATCAGGAAAACAGAACAAGCACAAATAACCTACTGGTGTACCTCAAGCTTCTAGAAAAAGAAGAGCAAGTCAAACCTAAAACCCATACAAGGGAGGAAATTATAAAGACCAGAGCAGAAACTAACACAATTGAGACTAAGGAAACAATACAAAGAATCAATGAATTAAAGAGTTGGTTCTTTGCAAAAATAAAGTTGATAAACCCTTAAATCACTACAAGTCCTGTGGGAATTCTGATTATTAATGTCTACTTCAAAAATCTTTACTCTCATAGACTGGATAACACAGAAGAAATGGAAAGATTCCTAGATACGTGTGAATCAAGAAGATATAAAAATCCTGAATAACCCAATAGCAGTTAATCACATTGAAAATATAATTAAAAACTTACCAATGAAGAAAATCCCAGGCCTTGGTAGATTCGTAACTGAATTCTACAAGAAATTTAGAGAACATTTAATGCCACTACTCCTCACACTCTTTAATGAAATTGAAAGGGAAACAATCATCCCTCATTCCTCAAGGCCAAGTGTTACCCTAATACCAAACCAGAGAAAGACTGCAGCCCAACCCTCAATCAGATGCAAGCAAACAGAATGCAGCAAATTGTTACTGGTCATTCAAGAAATGCAAATTAAAACAACACGAAGATTCACTCTAGATCTCACTTCAGAAAGAATGGCTTTCATCAAGAAATCAACCATTAACAAATGCTGGCGGGGCTGTGAAGAAAAACAACCCTTCTCCACTGTGGGTGGGAGTGGAGACTGGTACAGCCACTGTGTAAATCAGTGTGGAGATTCCATGAAAAGTAGGATTGGAGGTCCCATTCTACCCATCTATTCCTCTTCTGGGTATCATCCCACAACAATTAAAATCATACCATAGCGATACATATGTACCCAGGTTTATAGCAGCACAGTTTGTAATGGCTTACTCTTAGAAACAACCCAACTACCCATCAACTGAGGACTGAACAAAAGAAATAATGATATTTTTATACAGTGGAGTACTACTCACCCATAAATAATGATAAACTTGAGATTTTTTTTATAGGTAAATGGATGGGACTTGAGACCATACTCATTATCAACTTGCATGTGTAAACATCATGTTGTTTCTAGTATAAGAAGCTGGAAGATTAAATAGGATCCAAAATGTATGATAGATACTGTGAAATGGGAAGAAACTGTTCCATTGGAAAGAGAAACTGTGATGAGGGGAAGGAGAAAAGAAGAAAGAGAAAAAGGAAAAAATATGCATATAAACATACAAGATAGGTAGAGATAGTCATGCTACTAATTTCTATTAGTTCCTTGAAAGGTTTGTGCTTATATTGTTTGATCTGTTTCATGCCTGCAGCATAATCTGAGCAACTGCTTTGAAAATAACAATACACATTGTTAGTCTTCTATCATCTTGTTTTGAAATTTTGTATCATCGTTTTTTTCTTTAAAATTAAAAAAAATGGAATTCTTTACTACATATATGCAAATGTTTTTAATTGAGAAGTTCTTTTTTTTTTTTTTTTTAGAAATGTAGATACTGTAAGGATATTTACCTGCAGTAGACAATCTGTATTGTTATTGAATACTCAAGGCACTAAAGTGATTAGTTCTACCTGCCTCACAGGTCATATGTGAGCCAGTGATCAGTGATACAACACCAAGAAATAAAATAACCTGAAAAGGAAAAAAAAAAAAATGCAAGATAGTTATACTACTAGTTTCTGCTAGTTCTTTAAAAAGAAAGATGTGTACTGATATCATTTGGAGAATTTTTTAAGCACATATCTTATATGCTGATTACTTTAAAGACAACAATATTCAATGTATTAACTGTTATTCTCCTGCTATTTTGTTACGAAATTTTGTGTCACTTTTTTCCATAAAATAATTTTTGAAAAAACTTAACCAAAATCACACCAAGAGTAAGTGTTGGACCAGTAACAGAGTCTCAAATTCCTGAGTTTTTTTTTCCTTTTTATTCAGATCGTGAAGTGCTGCATTCTCTCTCTGTATCAGCTGTGCTTATCACATAGCAGTTGACTCATAGGTTCTGTTATTGTAAAGGGTTCATGTGCACTCAGAGGCAGTTGACAGAAAATAGAATGAGCCATTCCGTTTTTGTACCCTAATTAGAAAGTTACTGCCATACTAAGCAGGTGACTTAGCATAATATTGTATATCTGGTGACATTCACACAGTGATACTGCTGTCTGTTTTCACTAGGTGATTCCAAGCTCTTCCGGCCCAGAAGACCCCGATCTAGCAGTGATGCCCTGTCTGCCTCTTTTAATGGAGAAATGCTGGGGAACCGCTGTAATTCCTATGATAATTTGCCCCATGACAATGAGAGCGAGGAGGAAGTAGGGCTTCTGCACATCCCAGCTCTCATGTCTCCTCCTTCCGCCGAGGACGTTGACTTGAGCCCACCAGACATTGGAGTGGCCAGCCTGGATTTCGATCCAATGTCCTTTCAATGTAGTCCTCCGAAGGCCGAGTCAGAATGTCTGGAGGGTGGTGCTTCATTTTTAGATTCATTAGGATACCCAAAGGATAAACTGTGTGCCAATCAGAAGGACTCAGAAGCAGGTGGTAGCCAGTCTCAGACTCCAGGAAGCACTGCAAGCTCTGAACCGGTTTCTCCAGTTCAGGAGAAACTGAGTCCATTCTTTACCCTGGACTTGAGTCCACCTGAAGAGAAGTCATCTAAGCCATCCTCATTTACTGAAAAGGTCGTCTATGCTCTCTCTCCAAAGATTGGACGGAAGTTAACTAAATCACCTTCCATGAACATATCTGAGCCAATTTCAGTGACGCTTCCACCTCGGGTATCAGAAGTCATTGGTATCATCTCAAATACTGCACTCCAGAATGCATCATCTCCAACCTGGGACAAAAGCACGGAAGACAATGATGTCACAAATAGATCCCCCAACCAGATAGTAAAGATGAAAGCAAGTGAGAGAGAGGCTCAAGAAGGACATGAACCTGAAGTGCAGCCCCTGGACCAGGTGGCTGCTGAAGAAGTAGAGTTGCCAGGGCAAGAGGAGCAGTGTGTCCCGAGCAGTCAGAGTAAGGCTGTAGCTTCTGGACAGACGCAGACAGGTACTATTTGTTTTCCTCCCTTCTTCCTTTAGGTTAAGAGGGATCTTCAATCCTGTGTGCCATCCGTGCCTTCTAACAGAAAAATTTGCAGCACAGCTAGTCTTTAATCAAGAGAATGCTTTTCTGAGGAGTGCAGATGGCCCAAAGCCCTAAATTAAATCAGTCAAACAAAACTCCCCAAGGGCCTGTGGTCCTGCTTTGGACCTCTACACAGTGTCCCTTGCCTCTTTGGATAGTCAGGATTAGTGTATAATTTTTACACAGCTTCAGAGCTCTTGACTCTGTTTTCTAATAAATGCCACTATGCTAGCCTTACGAGTTAGCAAGCCTGCCCACCACATCCCGTGTGGAAACTGTGCTTAGCGAGAGTCTGGAGCATTCACAGCTTATGTTCTGAGTGGTCTTTTTTTGAGGCAGGTGAGCAGCTCGTTCCCTTCCCAGTTCTGTAGCAATCCAAGAGGAGCTTGCAGCCTTTAAACACTGTTTTAGTTTCCTCCTGAGCCAGGTGTGTTTTCAACAGCATTTGCATGTGGGATAGAAGATCATCGATTGCCATTTTGAACTATGACAAGAATCTATTTTTCAATGATCATATGGGGAGTGTTTGACATTCCGTATAGGATAATGTAAGCTGCCTTTTCATTCTCATTTCTTTTCCCGATTTCCCACTAGGAGCAGTTACCCATGACCCCTCTCAGGATCCCGTTCCTGTCAGTTCAGTCTCTCTTATCCCACCACCTCCGCCTCCGAAAAATGTCGCCCGAATGTTGGCACTAGCATTAGCTGAGTCTGCACAGCAAGCCTCAGCCCAGACCTTGAAGAGACCAGGGGCTTCCCAGGCTGGGTATACACATTATGGCGACACAGTGGCTACCGCTGAAGACAAACTGCCCAGTCCCTACTCTAGTGTTGCTCTAGATAAGGCCTATTTCCAGACGGATCGAGCTGCAGAGCAGTTCCACCTCCAGAACAACACACCTGGGAACAGTGACCAGCCTCTCCTAGAGACAGCAGCTATTGGGGAACCTCCCCCTTCCCACACAACAGACTCTGGGGAGCAGCTTCACCAACTAGACTTATTAGGCAATCAGTCACATCGAAACTGTTTATCTGGGGACCCAGAAAAGGTCAGAATAGCTTCAGCTCCCTTGCCTGACTCAGAGAAGTCCGATGATCTTGGAAGTTTCCCTGAAGACCAGGCTGGGAAGCCCAGTATGCTGAGTGTTTCCTTTGCGGAGCAGGACCAGTCTGCGCTCCACTTCTGCAGTGAGGATCCACTTCCCTCCTACCTTGGTATAAGTGTAGATAAGTCCCATCACCCTTCAGAACTTGCAGGCGAATCTCCTTTGCCTTCGAATTTACCCAGGGACAAAATCTACCTGCCTTCTGGGTCCCCCGAAGAGAATACCAGCACAGCTACCCTGGCTTACATGACAGTGACTCCAACAGCAGCCGAAATGAGCCCCAAGGACACAAGCTGGGCAGTGGCTGAACAGCCCGCTGCTGCTGACTTTGCCACTGCCACCGTCCAGCGCTCCCACAGAACTCCTCGTCCCCTGCCCGCACCTCCTACCCAGAGGCCAGCAGAGCAGCCACCAGTCATGGGGCAAGTACAGGCAGCAACCAGTATAGGAGTAAATAACTCCCACAAGGTAAGAAAGGGAGGAACTTGGCAAGGTGAAGTATGATTTGGTCAAAGGTATGTCATTTTTCAGCAGGATGTGTTCCCATTTGTGAATCAGATGAGCAGCATTCGTTAAAGCTGGTGGCAAGTTTCCATCAGATAGTTCCCATTTGACTTTGGAGTCTAGCTGGCTGCTAGTTTTTCTCTGAGGAGAGGGAGAGGTTAATTGACAGTGTTAGCTTAACCTCACATGCCGTCTTTTCTTCCATAGCATCTGGGTCAGTGATGGTGAACCTATGGCACCCACATTACTTGTTTTTTTGAGGCAAAGATATTAATGTATGAGTTGTTTTCCTACATTAAAATCTTAGTATTCAGGTTAATTGCAGTGTTAGCACTTTCTAATAAATAAGTGGGATTTGGATTAAAGGTTGAGCACTCTGTCTCTTAAAAAGTTTGCCATCACTGATGTAGGTCTTTTCTTCAGAGTAATATAATGTAAAGAGATCACGATTGCACGAGACCACCTGGGATGAAGGGTGTTTCTTCCCTTCCCTTCCTTCCTCTTCCCCTTCCCATTCCCCTCTCGTTTCTTTTCTTTCTCACCTCCATCACTGAGTCACTGTAATTTGGGGCAAGTTGTTTTACCACCCTCTGACAGTTATTCACATCTGCACAATGAAAATACCTCATCCTGAAGATGTTTGTAAGACTCTGCCTTTCAGGCTTTTTAGAAATGCGAGACATACATCATGTTTTGTGTTGATCTTTCAGCTTTAAGCAGCAGATTGTTCCATCACCAAGTACTTGTTTTGATGAGAGAATTTTGTACCCAAACCTAAGGGTTATTTTTTTTCCCTATTTTCTGATTTTTAAAAAAATGTCACAGGTTTTTTTTGTGTGGTCATCTTAAACTAAGAGGATTTGAATTTGTAGTTCTTGGAGGATGGTATTTCTAGCAATTACTTCTCAGGGCTGGAATCTTTGCAGACTTGCTGGGAGAGTCGTATTTGTCTTACGAATCCACAGAGGGAATGGAGTTAAAAAGACAATAAACTCTGACCTGAGTGTTACCTGTTGCTCCTCCTTGTGTTTGGGAGTTTTAAACTGCTCACTGTATACAACTGTGAATCACATTCAAGATCTTTCCAGACGACAGAGTCAGCTCTTTTCACTGAATAAAATGTTCTTGGTATGAAGGGTAAGCTAGACTAATAGGCTAGGTATTTGTTTTTAAGCTTTAAGTGTTATTTGGCTAAACTTTTATTTGAGCCTGCACACATATTATGAATTGGAAACCCTGGACAGTTCTCCAGAGAGGTGATGTGCCAAATAGCAGCATAGGCCTGCCTTTCCTGGCAGAGGCCACAGAGATTTCAAATTGCTGCCCAGGTAACCTCAGCTGCCAGTCACAAATGTGATAGCTTTGATTCCTTGGGGGAGCGTGAAAAAGGACTCACAATGCTGTCATTTTTTCAATAGGTTCAAGGAGCTGCTCCGGCTCCAGAGAGGCCACCTGAGCCTCAAGCCCTAGATGACCCCGTGCCTATCCTTGTCAGCGACGGCAGTGCAGCTGTCCAGTGTCCCATGGCTGCTGCCACTGCTCTCCAGCCAGGCCTACCTGAGAAGGTTCGAGAAGGCACCAGGGCCCCTCTGCTCCACCTGCGGGCTGAGTCCTTCCCTGGGCACTCTTGTGGCTTCGCGGCACCGATACCCCCTGCTAGGACAGTGGAGAGTAAGATGGCTGCTGCCATGCACTCCAGCAGCACAGATGCCACCAGCAGCTCCAATTACCACTCCTTTGTCACTGCTTCTTCAGCCTTGGTGGACAATGTGTTGCCTCTACCACTTCCTATCCCTCAACCCAAGCATGCCTCTCAGAAAATAGCTTATTCCTCTTTTGCCAGGCCTGAGGTTGCCACGGAGCCCTTTGGCCCAGAAAACTGTTTGCATTTCAGTATGACTCCAAACTGCCAGTTCCGTCCCCAGAGTGTACCTCCTCATCATAATAAATTGGAGCAACAGCAAGTGTATGGTGCCCGATCAGAGCCGCCAGCCTCCATGGGTCCTCGCTATAACACTTATGTGGCTCCTGGAAGAAATGCGTCCGGACACCACTCAAAGCCATGCGGCCGAGTTGAGTATGTTTCTTCTCTGAGCTCCTCTGTCAGGAGTGCTTGTTACCCCGAGGATATTCCACCATACCCTACCATCCGGAGGGTGCAGTCCCTTCATGCGCCCCCAACGTCCATGATCCGCTCTGTCCCCATTTCTCGGACAGAAGTTCCCCCTGATGATGAAGCAGCCTACTGCCCAAGACCCCTATACCAGTATAAGCCATATCAGTCCTCCCAGGCCCGCTCAGATTACCATGTAACTCAGCTTCAGCCTTACTTTGAGAATGGACGGGTCCATTACCGCTACAGCCCCTATTCCAGTTCCTCCAGCTCCTATTACAGTCCTGATGGGGCTCTGTGTGATATGGATGCTTATAGCACAGTGCAGTTGAGGCCCCTTCACCGCCTGCCCAGTCGTGATTTTGCCCTCTACAATCCAAGGCTACAAGGCAAGCACTTGTACAGTTACCCTGGTTTGCCTCCACGTCCCCGTGCTGGCGGCACTGGCTTTTTTTCTGGTAATGACCATAATATAGTCAGCACGCCTTCATCTGCTGATCTAAAGCACACCTACGCCTCGTGGGACCTAGAGGACATGGAGAAGTACCGCATGCAGTCCATCCGAAGAGAGAGCCGGGCACGGCAGAAGGCAAAGGGCCCTGTCATGTCTCAGTATGACAACATGACCCCAGCCGTGCAGGATGACTTGGGGGGGATCTATGTCATCCATCTGCGCAGCAAATCTGATCCTGGGAAAACTGGACTTCTCTCAGTGGCAGAAGGAAAAGAGGGCCGACACCCAGCCAAGGCTGTCAGTCCCGAGGGAGATGACCGCTTCTGTAGGAAGCACCCAGAGCAGGAATTCGATAGAGTCCTTCACCATGGGGGCTATGGCAACACACAGGGGGAGAAGCCATCCCTGCCTCAGAAGCAGAGCAGCCTTAGGAACAGGAAGCTCCATGACATGGGGTGTAGTCTCCCAGAGCACAGGGTGCATCAGGAAGCAAGCCATAGGCAATTGTGTGAATCAAAAAACGGGCCACCTTATGCCCAAGCCACTGGCCAGTTAGATTATGGGCCCAAAGGGATTCCAGACACTTGTGAGCCAGGCAGTTACCATAACTCTGGAGGAAAATATGCCCCCTCAGGGCAGGAGTCTTTAAGACTAAACCACAGAGAGGTCAGGCTGGCCAAAGAGCTGGAGCGCCCTCGAGCCAGACAGCCACCTGCCCCTGACAAACACTCCAGAAACTGCTACAAGGAGGAGGAGCACCTCACCCAGTCAGCGGTCCCACCCCCTAAGCCAGAGAGGAGCCATAGCCTAAAGCTGCACCACACCCAGAATCTGGAGAGGGACCCCAGCGTGCTGTACCAGTACCAAACGCACGGCAAGCGCCAGAGCAGTGTGACTGTTGTGTCCCAGTATGATAACCTGGAGGACTACCACTCCCTGCCCCAGCACCAGCGAGGCGGCTTCGGAGGGGCAGGCGTGGGGACCTACGTGCCCTCTGGCTTTGCCCACCCACAGAGCAGGACCTACGCCACAGCACTGGGTCAGGGGGCCTTCCTGCCCGCAGAGCTGTCCTTACAGCACCCTGACACACAGATCCATGCAGAATGAGCCCCGGGAGCAATAGAGTTGAAGCAGCCTCTGCTGGACAGTGGACTGTTCTATTTTTTTCAGTAACCAAAAAGATTAAAAAAAAAAAAAAAAGGTACAAAATTTCTGACCACATTTAAAAACAAATGTATTAAAAGTAAAGTCACCATCTTTCCTCCCTCCCCTGCTTCATCACCATCCTTCCATCTACAGACTGTCATTTTTGTCTTTAGAAGAGGTCTGAATGATTGTAAAGCACTGTATTGAAAATCTAGTAAAGAAATCCATCACAGATCGCACTTGCCATAGAGGGCTAATCTGTAAGAGCTTCAGGACTGCCTTTAACTGAATTTGAATTTTACTTCATCTCTGCTTAGCCATGCTACCTAATTCAGAGCAGTTGAGGTCACCTTCCTGGTGGTCTCCTCCCCTACACTCCACATTTGTGTCCCATTGGCTGCAGAGCTTGCCCTGTTGGAGCTCCCACTCTTTCTCACCTCATTGTCTCTGGCCAAGAAAGGGCTTGCAGATAAGTTAGGGCAGAGAAAAACTCCCTGATCCTTCTGATAAGTCACTCAGATAATTAGCCACGTTATAATTAAAAAGTAAAGGAACTAAGACTTTTAAGCATTTCATAAATAAATAGAGTTATAAAATAATCAGATCATTTAGACTCAGACTGAACCGCACACTTTCTATCATTATTTCTACAGTTGGTCCACACAGGTGAACAAGCTCATATCACTACAGAGTATTTTTTTAAAGTTAGAATTTAAGGAAACTTACTAGGTAAGAAAAAGTGAAAGTCTGTTATCAGCAAACTTAGTTAACTTCGGAAAACTGTATAAAGGCTGTTAATGTGCTGCCGGTCTGCAGATTTTTTCCCCTGAATAATATTTGATAAATTATACTTCACTATTTTCCTAAATTAACAACTTTTACTTATTAAGGCCAGCCTGAGAAGACTGGATAATCACACAATTTCCCATGTACATTTACATGCAAACTTGTGTTTCTAAGCCAGAATATACGTTCCTTCAAATCCTTAAGGTAGTTGTGATCCCTTTGCTGAGAAACTGCAAGTCCCTGCGATAGATAATAACTGTACACACAGTCCTGTCTCGCTGATAGGGGCTCTGGGCAGCTCCTATCTAATCCTAAGGAGTCATGCAGTGTTTGCTTCCTCTGGGCCTTTGTTACCACAATCTTCTGTAGTTGTCATGGACACCAGCATTTCGGAATGGCTCTTTATAACTCTAGACATGTTAAACATGTGTAGTACCCAGGACTTTCTTTTGAAAGTTACATTCCTAAAAGAGCAGGAACAGGACACCTCTAACCCAGCTGCATTCTGTTTCGAAGCTCCTCCCACCACAGAAACACCAGACTACAAAGGCAGTCCTGTGTTTACAAAGTAAGATTGTCGTTTCATTCCATAACACGTAATAATACTTGAGTTTTATACATTTACATATTTTAAATGCTCAGTTGTAGAAGCAAGTTCATTCCATTTACTGGATGGTTGCTGCTCTGGCTTTTTAGAACTTGGTATTTTATTTAGAAAAGAAAGAAATCTTTTAAGAGGCTAAAATGCTGCTATTACTGCTGTGAATTTGTATAAAAGATTAAAATCCATACCGTCATTTTTTTTCATTAAAAATAGTGATTGCTTTTTAAGGATTTATACTTAGAAAAAGTTTTAAGAACAAATTTATATATGGAAATACTCTATAAGGTTTTCTTTTGTTCCCGAGAATTGGTCAGAGGAATGCAACAAAGACCAGAGTAGAAATCTTAAAACACCGATTCTGTGGAAGTTTAGGTCTCAACATTAAAAGTGCAAGCATCCAACTGATGCAGTCAAAATGTTAGGAACTCGATAGGATATTTCCCCTGGCACCACACACACTGGATGCTATGGACAGGAGTTGAGCTCTGGTGAGCATGCAGCACTTTTAAAAAAAACAGTAATCATCTTTTTTATCAAGTAGGTAGCCCATTGCCCCCTGGGGACCATCCCAGCCCTGGAATTCGCACCAGCAGCAGTGGAGGTTAGGTGGAGGGGCTGGCGTGATGTGGCTTCAGTAACCAAGGGCCTAGGACAAAGCAGCAGATGTCCTTGCCAGTTTTAATATTTGTGGATTTGATGTCACACACATTGTTTACTCCTGAAAGTAAAGTCTGTTTTATAAATGCTAACCTTCATTCCTTAGAACAGTTTCTTTATTAATGTCCCATGGGCTTGGAAATAATCAGGTAACTGTACTGAGTATAAAAATGATTCAAATTACTGGTGTAAGTGTGAAACATAGACTTTAGCTAACGTCTAGAGTTAACATATGTAGCAACAGCCTTAACTTTGGATTCAGCTGTTTAAGAGACCTTGTCCACATCTCCCCATTCTGGCATCCTGGAGGTAGGAGTTGGATGGCAGATCACTGTGAGCCAGGTTACCTCAGTGTTGCCCACCCAGCGTGTGGCTTCCCAAATGCAGAACTGAATGTCGTAACTTTGAGATGTTGGCATGGAGTATTGTGATCAAGGAAATGGAGCTGCCTTATGCATTAACCCGTGGTTCAATTCTACTGATACTTTCATAGCCTTATCTCCAGGTTCCATCTTTTTAGCAAAATCCTAATTCCATAGTTCATTTGATGGAAATAAATATTCCCTGGATTTCTGACTAAGAGCTTTGCTAAAAGCCCCAGGGGTGCCATTTTCTTATTAATAAATTTAATCTGAGCCTTATTTCTTAGTGCATTCAATTTACTTTTAAATAGACATTCACATGTTTTAAATGCTCAGTTTGAACAGAGTCCCTGGGGTGGTCCCAAGGGTCAGACCTGCACATTTCTTACAATGGAAAAGCGGTTTTTTGTTTTTGTTTTTGTTTTTTTAATTTAGGGTCAGGTTGAAAAATTCTAGGACTCATTCTGTAAAGAGGAGGGACTGTGAATGTGAGTGGGGACAGAAGAGTGGGTTGTCATACTTGAAGCAGAAATAATTGCAGATGATGTAAATTTGGGACTTGCCCCTTTGGTTCAAGAAGGACCCTACAAAGTCCATTTCTCTGTTTCAGCCCTATTGATCACCCACTCAGAATGTTGGCAGAGTATGTATCACCTGAGCAGAGGGTACAAGGAAACAATGAAAGCTGAAGTGTGTCAGAAAGTTACTTTCGAACGTTAGAGGCATGTGATCGTCAGTACTGTGTGTTACAGAAATGTCAGGAATGATGTATTTTAATGTGTGCAAGATATGTCGGTGTGCGCAGAGGGACTTTTTTCCTTATCTGATTAGTACTGTTAATGTTCAAAGAATAAAAATGGTTGTTTTACAGTTTAGATTCTGAGATAGCAAAATCTGATTTTTCAACCATGACCTGCATGAGAGAAGCATCCTAGAAAGTCCTAGATCATACTTTTGAGTTCTCTTAATTTATATAGTGTTTTTTAATGTTTTAATATTTTTGTGAACTGGTGTAAATTGTTAATGCATATAAGCTTGTGTATTTTTGTAAATAGTTTTGTGATTTATTTCTTGCCCCATATTGTAAATATTTAGAGTCTCATTTCTTCCAAACTTATTTGAAGCTGAGTTGTGGGTTTGGGGTTTTGTTTCCTTGTTTGTTTGATTGGGAGGTGGGTGGGGAGAAGGGATTTTGTACTTGGAGATGGAGGTATCTTGTGGTTTAATGCAAATGTTCCACTAAACGCAACTCAAATATCAACAGAATTATTTCAGGTTAAAACGTATTTTGTGTATGTGTTTCCTTTTTGACCTACAGTGAATTCTAGTGAAAGGGGGCCATTGATTTGGGATAATCAAGACGGAAGGCAAGTGCTTGTATGATAGCCTGATGTTTAAGGAAGGGGGTTAAACATCTCGCATCTTCTCTCTGCCATCATGTACTGCCTGGCCAGATTCCCTGCAGCTCAAACACGTCTCCTCAGAGCCACTGAGGCTCCCTGGTCTGTTCTGGAAGCCCGAGGCAGATAGCATACCCAATCTCTGCCCTCTGCTCCTGTGCCTGCTTGTGTGCAGTTCCCTGAAAGTTGAACTGGCTTCGCTCAGAATCCTCTACATGGGGAATCTGAATAAAAACATTTTAAGAGTTTCACAAAGCAGCATGTGTGTCCTGTTTTCAGGGTAAATACAAGAATCACTCTAGATTTTGCTATCTGTGGTGAGTTGGTAGAGAGGTATTTCAGTAAACCAAGTCACCCAGATACTCGCCAGGCTGTCTGGAGCTTTTTCCTCTGCCAGATTCTCTAGAGGAGTGTTTCAGCATCAGGACTTTGAGGGTTGAGGGGCGCAAACTTCAATATTTAGCTATTCAATACTAGTTTTCTTCCTAGGAGCCAAGTCACAGATCTTTCCTAGTTTCAACGAATTTGGAGCTGATCCCCTTTGCAGTAGCAGGAAGTTGCCCTTTTAGTCCAGACATCCCTGCTGAGCCACACCTTTTACCCGCCTGCACACCATACTCCAGATCGAAGCAGACTCTCAAACATCGGGTTCAGCAGATGCTCTAGACCTGCCTGTGTGTTTCCACGGAAAGCATTCAGATGAGCTGAAAGAAAAGGCACGTGTGACATTTCCAATGTGGTCTTCTAGTTTTCTGTGGCTTTTCATCAGATTTTCTTTGTAAAAATATTGGACCTACCACTAGATAATGCATATATGTTGCTGAAGACTTGGCGACGAAACCCAGTGGTGGTTTGAGCTTTCAGTCATTTATGTTGCTGTAAGAAAAGACACATTTTAAAGTAAAATTGACTCCCCATTGCAGTAAAATCTTGTGCATCAGGAAATACCAAAACTAAGACATTTTAATTAGCCATTTTTTTCACATAGTTGAGAACATTCCTTTTGAAAACCTGAGGTTTAGTTTTTATTTAAAATATTTCTAGAGTAAATTTTAAATCCCACACTTTGCTACCAGTATACTTACAGTATATAGTATACTCTTGTATACTATGTTTATTATTGCATATTTATAGCAATACCCTCAAGGGTACACTGAAATAAAGGAATGCATTTTATTGCAAGTGGTTTTAACACTAGTACTCTTACAAAGTTCTTGTGCCTTGCTTTGTGCTAGCATTCCTTGTTACTGTCCATGAGCTACCTATAAACTTCCTCTTTGTCTTTTTAGTGGAAATCACAAAATTACACTTGTCAAAATAGGGAGCAGCATAACTGAATTGGGTCCTAAAAGGTCACCTCAAACAATTTGGACTCTGTTCATCTAGTTGTAACTCGAGACCTTTTTACTTTTTATTTTTTCTTCTCCCAAAATGTGTGGATAGCTGTTGCAGGAAGCAAGATACTGAATAAGATGGTTGGAAGGGAGAATGAAAGGCTGTAAAAGTTCACCCTGCTTTGCTTCTGATACTCTGAAAAAGTGTATGATTAGACACTGGCACTTCTTTTACTGTAGAAGACTTACTCCCATAAACAAAATGCTAGTCCATAGAGATTTGGGTATCCATAATTGGAAAAAAAAAGTATGCAGAGTTACTATGTCAGCTCAGAGTCATTTTTTTTAAATTTTATTTTAAAGGGAATAAAACCAAAATAATAAAGCCAATCAAATCAGTGTAAGTGATACAGGATTTCAAAACAAGGTAATAGGAAATCAACAATGGTTACTATAATGCCTCTTAGTTGTCTTCACAATAACTGCTCATACTTTCCGGCATAGTAAAAATCAAAAAAGAATAGAACCAATAAAAACAAAACAACACAACGCAGGACTTCAAAACAGGATAATAGTGCGAAATAGCTACCATAATATATCTTTGAAATCGCTGCCTGTACCATTGGATATAATAAAATCAAATGACAAAATAGAATAAAACAACCCAATGAATGAAAGTGATACAAGACTTCAACATAATAGGGAGTTGATGACCACCACCTTCAGAAGGAGATCCCCCATAGATGCTACATTGCCTAGTATTATCTTTTGAATAGTTAAATTTTTACCTGAGTAGCTATCATTGCAGCCTGTGTTTGTCTGGATCAAACAGTTGCTTACAGCAGGGTTGGGGCAGTGGTTAGGGGTGTGGTTGATGCTTTGACTCCTAGCCCGCAAGCCTGAAGGGGCTGGCATCTGGTTCTCCCCCCCCCCCCACTATGAGCACCCCACACATGGTGCTGACACAGGGAGGGCTTGTTTCTTGAGTTCTTGTCCTCCCCTAGAGTCTGCAAGTGGTACCGACTCATGGGAAAAGGCTGGCATCTGGTTCTCCCCCTACACAATAGCCTGCGTATGGTACCATGTCACCGTCATTTCTTCACTGACCAAACTGTTTTGAAAGCATCCTGAAGGCTCTCTGCCATTAGTTGATACTTTAAACTCAGCGAGTAGTTACCCAGTTTTAGGGTCTATATAAAACACCTGGAGAGCTAGTTAGTGTTTCTTGAGCACCCACCAGACAACCTAACCCTCCTAGTCTGGGATTACACTCAAGAATCTACACCTGTCACTCAGCACTCTGGACCTTGGTTGAGAAGTACTCTAACCAGTATAGTTAAAGGCTTCTATCCTAGAAGTAATCTATATCTGATTATTTAGCTTACCACTACCTCCTCTTTACGCCTTGGTTCCCTATCCCTTTAATAATACTAGCTCCCATTCTTTGAATCTTGATCATCACCAAAAGGCCCAGATGTTTTAGGCACCATCTGCCTTCTGTGGCACTATTGGGAGATGGTGGAAGCTTTTGGAGGTGGGTCCTAGTGAATGGAAGTTCCATTGCTGATGGAAACCCTTGAGAGAGTGGCTGGGGACTTGGCCCTTCCCTCTTTGTTTCCTGGTTGCTGAGAACAGGCCCCTGCACCGTGCTCCTGCTACGATGTACTGTGCTACTGCAGGCTCAGAAGCAGCATGGTTAGTCAACCGTGGGCTGAAACTGTGAGCCTTTGCTCACAGTTGATAGCCTCAGGTATTTTGTCACAGAGATGGGAAGCCGGCAAATGTATCATGAATTTCTCTGTGCTCTGCATTGAAATTTTAATCTCATGTATAAAATGACACGCAAAAATTAGTTATAATTTGAACTAAACATTGTAGAGAACAACTTGTTTTTATCGCTGTTGCCTATTGTATGTTAGATAATAGCAGTGAAGTGTCTGATTCCGAGTTGCCACATTATTTTTATTATTACTCTAGGTTTGTGATACATAATGTTTATATCCCATTAATTCCTTTTTCATCCCTTTTTCCTCCCCTCCCTTTCCTCTCTGTCCATTGAAGTCTTACAGGTTTGAACCATCCTGGCTGATTACCACATACAATTGATACATATTTGCAGTTTAGGCGGTGAAGTGTTTCATGTACTGTTCATGGAAAGCAAACTTTTGAGAACGAAGGGATGTGTCTTCCTTTGTTTTTTTTATGAGAACTATTAGCTTATTTGATGAGCTTTATGTGTTTTATCAATTATGGCTAACAATATAGCAGAGTTTTTAGCAGCTAAGAATAATCAACTCTGCACTGACTATGTGATAGTGTCAGGCACAGTAGCAAGTACTCTGTACCAGCTAGTTCTTTTATTACATGTCACCCATCACTTCATGAATGAAACCAAGACACAGAGGTCAAACACTTTGCTCACTGTCACACAGCTAGTAGTGCTCTGAGACTCTGAAAGCTGAGACTGAACTGGCACTCAGTTGTATCATTAAGAATTTAGTCAGCATCAACCTTTCTGAATTGAAAGGTTTCACATAGTTACTATTGATAGGATTATATGCAAAAGATGAGACGTATAAAACAAAAGAGGCCTTTATTCTGAGAACACAGAACTGACAACCCCCACCCCCCACTCTAGCTTTCTCTCTGGCTGACACATGGCTTGGGGGGCGGGGGGTATATAAGTAGCCTAAGCTTAGGGTAGTACCCTAGGGCCATTAGAGATGCACAGGTATCTCATTGGCGCACGTTTGGCGCCAGGGGCAGATTCCTAAGGGTGGGGGGAGATAGAGTCACAGGTAAATCCATAGGGGTGGGGGAGATAGGAGCTTCCTGGTTCCTGTTGAGGCTTCTCTGGCTAGAGTCCTGTCTGGGACAAAACCCTTTCAACTGTATCTTGCAAGAAGAGAATCTTGATGGGTAGAGATGCAAGACTGTGCAGTTAAGATGAGTCTTCATAGTGAACCTTGGAACACAGCGTTTATTTACCTTGAGGTCTCAGTAAAAATATTTCAGTTATTCAATGGAGCCTTTATCTAGATAGCACTGATTATGACTGCTGAACAGTGTCTGCATTCTGTGTTTGACCTGTGTTATCCATTGGATCTCAGCACCTTGCAGCTTGGGGAAGTGATCTCTGGACCTCGGAGCTGTGCCTTCCTTGCAGTGGGGTTGCTGTCTGCCCCAGCTGCTCGACCACTGTGCACTGTGGCATGCATGGAAGCAGCATGGTGAATTCTTCTAAACAATAGGAAGGGGAAAGAGGTCTGGGATTTTTACCAAACAGTTGCGGAGGTGATGGCCCTGACTATCCATTTTTGGATAGTAAAGCTTGGTAAGTTATAAAATTCTTTCCATTATGAAATACATACTAAGAAAACAGCATTTGATTTCTTAATTTTACAGGTTTTTTGAGACAGTTTCATTGTGTAGTTCAGGCTGGCCTTGAATCAACATTCTTTTAAACAAAATATTTTCCCGAGAAGACATTACAATGATTATACTGATGGTAGCTAATAGCTCCAACAATTCACTGATTTGCCAGGTACAGCC